AGTAGTAGCAGTCGTAGTAGTAGTAGTAGTAGTAGTAGTAGTAGTAGTAGTAGTAGTAGTAGTAGTAGTAGTAGTAGTAGTAGTAGTAGGAGCAGTAGTGGTAGTAGCAGTCGTCGTCGTAGTAGTGGTGGTGATCGTGGTGGTTGTGGTGGTAGTAGTAGTGGTAGTAGCAGCAGCAGCAGTGATAGTTGTAGTCGTACTCGAAGTCGCAGTCGTAGAAGCGCAGTGGTGTAGGAGGAGAAGAGTCGAGAAGGAGGCAAGGAAGGGATGAGTGAAGGAGGAGAGGAGGTGGAGGAGGAGGATGAGGAGGAGGAGGAGGAAGGAGGAGAAGGAGCAGGAGGAGGAGGATGAGGGTGGAGCGAGGCGGGCGGAACGAGGAGGGAGGAGGAGGGCCGCGGGCCGGACGCCAAGGACGCCGCACCCTTTCTTCGTCTTCCTGTCGTGCTCGCACCCGCCTCTGGATGCCCGCCTGCAGGCCATCATGCGGCACCACAGGAAGAAGTGGTCCTAGCTGGACAGCCCCTTGGGAGCCGTTTGAGGGATCGTGGCGGCCCCTGGTGTCGCCAAGGTCGCCAGCCTCCGTCCAGGGGCCTCGGCGCCCGCGCGCCGCCCGGGCAGATGGTGTGCAGGCCCACCTCTTGCAGGGCGGGCGTGCCGGGCAGCGCCCCCGCCAAGGCTTCGGCAGGCGCCCCCAGGACGGCTCTTCGGACACAGCGGCTGCCAGGGGCCGTGTGGGTTCGCGCGCGAACGCCACCTTCTTGACGGACTTTGCCGCGCTGGCGGCCCGCGCGAGCCAGCACGCATTTCGTGGTGCCTTCGTGCGGAATGATTTCTCGTCTTCGTGGCCGACTTCTGTGTGCTCAAGCTGGACCCTTATAGGATGCACCTTCGCGGCTCCGACTCCGTTAGCAGCGGCATGCGGCGGCGGAGACCAGTGGCGCGCGCGGGGAGGTGACCTTCCGCTTTTCCTTCTCCTGTCCAGCTTCCCATCGCTACATACTAGTATGTTCAGTGTTGCTCGAACCTAACAGCTCGACGCGACCCCTCCAACGGATGCTTGCCTTCTGTTAGCGCACGACATGTCCTGGCACTGTCGTTCCATAGCCTACCACTAGCATGGCACATCATATGATGTCGTTTCAGACAAAGCACCAGGCGCACCATTTCAACGCATACATCTCGCATTGCACATGTCATGCGCAAGCGTACTTGCGTGGAAGTGCAGCAGCGCGCACCTACAGTATATTGCAATGGCGCAGCGGTCAACGTCGGTCAGCATTTCATGTCAGAGCATCGTGAGATCATGCTTTATGGTCCGTTTCTTTGCCGCAGCGCTGAAGCCCATACCGCAATACAGCATACTATATGTATAAGCCTACTCCAGACCCCCCTTTTTTTTGAAATCTCCCCCCGGGTTCTCGTTCCCTGTGCTCCTCCTGCTGCTCCTCCTCCGCCTCCTCCTCCTCGTCCTGCTCCCCCCCTCCCCCCCTCCCTCCCCTTCCTCCCCCTCCCCGCCTCCTCCGCCGTTCTCCCTCCCCACTCCCCCTCCCCCCCTCCCTCCGAGGGCGAGTTTGGCTTGCCGAAACCAGCGCGGTTGCGGGCGTTTCGAAAAACATCAGATCATATTGCCCCGAATGAGAGAGAAGGCAGAGGAGGAGGAGGAGGAGGAGGAGGAGGAGGAGGAGGAGGAGGAGGAGGAGGAGGAGGAGGAGGAGGAGGAGGGCGAGGAGGAGGTGGAGGTGGAGGGGGAGGGGGAGGGGGAGGGGCAGGAGGAGGATGCATGCGGTCCTGGATGTGCCGCTCGTTGCCAATTCTTTTACGAGGGTCGGAGGTCGCTAGGAGCCGTCTTGGGTCTCTCTTGGGGTCCTCGCGGAGCCGCTTGGGGCATGTTTAGGGGCCCTCTTGGGGCCTTCTTGGGCCCCTCTTGGACCTCTCTGGGGCCATCTTGGGGCCATCTTAAGGCCCAAGAGGCTCATCGGACGCGAAAAAGCGAGAAGCCGAACAAACTTGATGTACCCTATGTGTTTGAAGGATTTCGGCCTCTTGGAAGGTGCCTTGGAAGGCTCGAAGGGCACTCGGAACCCTCCTGGGGCTGTCTTGGGCTGTCTTGGAGGCACGTGGGAGGCTACCTTGAACGATCTTGAGCTATCTTGAGCCATTCTGGAGGTCATCTTGGGCTGCTGAGGGCCCTCTTGGAGCCATCCTGGGCCATCTTGGACGCTCTACTGCCTCGCCCCCCCCTTCCAGGCCCTGGGGAGGGGGTATAGGGGAGGGGTCAGCCCCTCCCCCGAGCAGCGGAAGGAGGGGTTGTGGCAGGGAACTGAAAACAATTCGTTAAACCACTCAGCCCAGAGGGCTGATGGGATTTCGAGACGGCAGGGTGGGCCATGGTGTCGGCGGCTCTTTGCATGCCACTGTTACTGCTACCACCCCGGGGTGAGATTGGCGGAGCGAGGCAAGGCCCGCTGGCCTGAAGGACAACGGGTCTTGCTTCCTCTCCTACGTAGGAAGGGAGGGATGGCCGTGCGGACCTGCCGAGGATGGAGTGAGGACCTTCGCCAAAACGATGCCCACCCCAGGGTCGCCGACTTCAGAACGAGGTGGTGAGGGAGGGACTGGGAGGGGGATGGACGGATGCGAGGAGGGGGGGGAATGAGAGGGAGGAGGGGGTGACGATGATCCCCCTCCTCCTCCTCCGTAGCCATTTTGGCTCAAGGGTGTGGTAGGTAGTCAGGGGCCGTCTCCAGCTCGTCAACCCAGGTTGTCCTCCTCCTCCTCCTTCTCCTCCTCCTCCTCCTCCTCCTTCTCCTCCTCCCTTCTTCCCCCGCCCCCTCCGCCCGTGCCGATGGCGCCCGGCACGGGCGCATCGGGACGCCGTCGCCGCGCCGGCGGTGGCTTCGCCAGCCTGCTTGGGGCGGGAGCGGCGGCGGCTGCTGCAGCTGCTGCGGCGACCGCGCTGGCCGCGCCCTCGCGATTAGGCCGGCTGGCTGGCAGCCGGGCAGCCCCCGCGGCGGGGAGGAGGGCGCAGCTGGTGGGTCGTCACCCTGGGAAGAGGTGGTTTGGAATGCTGCGGAGGCGGTTGGAAACCTTCGTGCGACTGTTGCTGGAACCAGCGCCGACGACTTCGATTCTGGTCCCAGGGAGCCGGCGAGGATCTCCGAGGAGCTCGTCTAGCGGCTGCGGGCAGACTATGAGCGCGACTTCGTCTTGACAGGGGACGTTGACGTGGAGCTCTACGACAGGAGCTGCGACTTCGCAGACCCGTTTGCCTCGCTCTTCGGTCGCGAACGCTTTGTGCAACATTTGCGGAACTTGGCTGGCGGCTTCATCGCAGCGTTGCGGGTGAAGATGTTGGGCTGCGGCGAGGCCGGCGCCAGCGCCGTCGGCGGGCGTGTGGCCTGCACCTCTCGGCTGCGGGTGCAGCTGGAGCTGGTGCTGCCGTGGTGGCCGGCGCTCGGCGGCGCGTGGGGGGTGGCGCACGAGGTCGAGCCGGGCAGCGAGGGCGAGCGAGCGGAGGCGTGGCGGTGCGTGGTGCACCGCGAGAGCCGGGAGATCGGCCCCGCGGAGGGCGTCGCCCAGATCTTCCGACCCAGCAACGGGCTCTCGAAGAAGTGAGCTGTGTGCAGCACTGTCCCCCTCCTCCTCCCTCCTCCTCCTCCTCCTTCTCCTCCTTCTCCTCCTCCTCCTTCTCCTATCCCTCCTCCTCTTCCTTCCTCCTCCTCCTCCTCCTCCTCCTCCTCCTTCTCCTTCTCCTCCTCCTCCTCCTCCTCCTCCTCCTCCTCCTCCTCCTCCTCCCAGGCACTGAGCTCCGAAGGACAAGAGCGTTGCCCTCGCCGGCCTCTCTCTCAGGGCTCAGGAGACTTGGCGTCCCATTGGCGAGGCCCCCTTCTCCGCCTCGTCCTCCTCCGCCTCCTCCTTCTCCTCCGCCGCCTCCTCCTTCTCTTTCTCCTCCTCCTTCTCTTTCTCCTCCCGCTGGCGAGCGCCTCTGCCTTGCTGCTGCAGAAGCCGCGCGCTGTGCATGCGCGCGCGCCCCGCCCATCGCTGCGGGGATCTGGCCCGATGGTGCCGCCGCTCGCGCTGCGCGCGCGGCCCGCAGAATGGAGGACCGATGGGGCGGTGGGGGCGGGGGGGGGGCGGGGAAGGGAGGGGGAACGAGGGGTGGGGGGGAAGGAGAGGAGGGGGGCAGGGGGAGGGGGATAGCAGCGGGAGGGCCTCGGGAGGATGGAGGGGGAGGGGGGGGGAGGGGACTGGAGAGGAGGGGGAGGAGGGAAGGGGAGGGGGCAGAGGAGTGGAATCACAATGCAGCGCTCAGGATCTCCGCGGGCACAGGTCCGACGAGTAATAAGAGCATCGGCAGCACCGGCAGGTCGAGAGGCGAGCCGAAGGGCCGAACCGAGAGCGCCGAAGGACCACGCCAGGAGGGCCCGAGGGGCCGAGCGAGGGGGAGAGGCCGTGCCTGCCCCAGCAGAGTGCCACCGCTGCACCACACGCCGCTTATCGCCGCGCAGGCCGTGCACGGAGGCGCCCGGCGGCATGCACGGCAATCGCACGCTGCGGGGTCAGGATCCGCCAGCGGGAAGCTCTTGTCCACGCCCTTGCCCGTGTCGTTGCTCGTGCAGGGGCCGCGCCGAGGATCCGCCCCCGTAGCCCACAGGGTCGCGCGGCGGGCGCGTGCAACATCAGCTCCGCGTGTGCGCGGGAAGCCGTCTTCCCTCCCCGCGCTGAGGATGGGAGGGGAGAGGCGGGGGCGGGCGGGCGGGTGGGCGGATGGCGTCTGCGCTGCTCTGACCATCCCTGCTCGTCCACATCTCTCCTCTGGCTCTTCCTGCCGTCGACCCCGCCTGGCAGGGATGATCGACAAACTCGCCCGAGGTTGCCCCTGCATCCTTCCCCTTCGGCCCATCCTTGGCCGCCTTCGCTGGCCGTGCCCCGCTCGCTGGGGGTCGGCACGGCCCTTCGAGGCCCTGGCACCCTTCTCGCGCGCGTCCTTCCCATGCGGGCTGGCCGTGCTCTTCCTCGCTCCCCCCCTCCCCCTCTTTCCGCCCGATCCCCGCCCCCCTCTGCCGCCCGCCTGGCGCAGGAGCCTGCCGCCGCTGAGCGCCCCCCCCGCGGCGGGCCGGGGAGGGGTCCCGGGCTACCCTCCGCGCAGGGCGGGGGAGCGCCCAGAGGTATACCGTGCCTCCCGGGGGGGGGGAGGAGGATCGACTAGACGTAAGAGTGACCTTTCGCCGGAGTGACCTGTGGTGCGGGCGTAAATTGGTCCCCAGATCGCCGAATGCGATGCAGTAGCAGCGTCTTGGGCGGTCGTGCTTGGTCCCCCAGCGGCCCCCCCAAAGCCGCGCACCAAAGGTCACTCTTACCCAGGGTCACTCTTGCGTGCAGCCGAGAGGAGGAGGGGGCGGCACATCAGAGGGGAGAGGTAGGATCTAGGCCTCCTCGATGGGGTCGGAGCAGATTCGGGCTATCGCAAAACGTGGATCAAGGGGGCGTGGATTAGCGACGGGTCCCGTCTCCATGGGAAATCGCGGACTTCCGCTGCCGAGCGGGGCGGCACCGGCCGCATGTTGGGGAGGGCACCTCCCCCGATCCATGGATTTGGCGACCGCGCGCCAAATCCATGGATCGCTAGTTCATGTTTGCGCGTCCCCGATCGAGGTCTCCTAGATGGGGTCGGAGCAGATGGGGTCGGAGGATCGCGCCCCACCGCCGATGCGTCGCTGATGCGTCGCCGATGCGGCTCGATGTGGAGCCCGATTTTATCCACGCCGACGTCGCCGATGAGTCGCCGACGTCGGCGGTGCGGCCTGACCCTCCGACCCCATCTACTCGGACCCCATCTAGGAGGCCTCTATAAAAGGAGGGTGGAGGGGGAGTGGATGTATGGAGTATGGAAGGAGGAGGGACGAGAGGAAGGCTCTTTCGGACTGTTTTGGCCACGCCCGAGGGGCCACGCTGCACCGCAAACGACACGCGTGCACCCCGGGCCAGGCACCGAAGCCTACCGTTGAAGGAAAAAGCTTTGCATCAAGAGTTGGGGGACCACTTCGAATACATCCCCCTGCACCCACCCAGCCTTACTGTAGTGAGCAGTTGGTCCCAGAGATGAGCGGCCGGAAAACGTCTGAACCCAAGATCTCGATCGCAATGCCTTCCAACATTAGTGCCGGGGGGTAGGGGGCCACATGCGAACCCACCCCTACCCCCCACGATTTCTGAGGGGGAGGGTGGGGTTCACTTCGTTTGGGAGCTCCCGAGCGAAGTGAACCCCACCCTCCCCCTCAGAAATCGTGGGGGGTAGGGGTAGGGTTCGCACGTGGCCCCCTTAGGGGTGGAGGGGGGGGCGGAATTCGGTTCTTCGTCGTCGGAGCGTTGTGGATGCACAGCTTTCTCCTTCCACCGCAGGCCACTCCCGGGCGCGCGAAGAGGCTCGCGCTGCGCGCGCCGCGGCCTGGGCCGCTGGGCTGCCTCCCCCCGGGGCGCGGCGGGCGCGCGGAGGCCCGCGCGCGGAGCACGCCGCGGGGTGCGGTGCCCGCAGGCGGGCTGTGATGCCCACAGCTAGATACGGTAGTTGTTGATCTTAACTTGTGGATCTTAACTTGAAGATAGGGTGAAACCAATTTTCAAAACATCAAACACAAGTAAATGTGAAAAGCTATCTTCCACAACTTCAACCTAACTTCCACAACTTCCACGACTTCCACATAACTAGTTGTGGGCATCTCAGGGAGGCGACCCAGCGAGGCGCCTGGCCGGACGTGCGCACGTGCCGACGCGAGCCTCGCAGCGCATGCCCGACGGGCCTCTTCCGTCGCAGTCGCAGCCCGCCGCGCCCGCGGACGAGGCCCTCGCGGGCGTGACGGGGCACGCGGAGGGGGGCAGGGGTGAGAAGGAGGAGGGAGGGGGGCGAGGAGGACGCGGCGATGGAGGGCCGAGGGAAGAGGGCATGCCAGTTTTTGGACCACCTGGCTTCGCCCCGCCTCCTGCTCCAGAGGCCCTCGATCCCGCCGTCCCTGAGCAGAGGATCCGTGCGGCCAGCCGCGGCGCGCGAGGAGGGCGACGCGGCCCGCCGTCGCGCGGCACAGCTGCCCCGTTGGCACCTCCCGGAGCTCGCCCCCGAGCTCCAGCCGCCCGTGCTCCGCGGGGGCTGCGCGCCCCCCCTCCGCTCGACGGCCGGCTGCCGCGCGGGGGCCACGACGCCGCGCCGCGCGCGCGCCGTCCTCCACCTCCCTCCTCCCTCCTCCCTCCTCCCTCTTCCCTCAGGACGCCCCAGAGCCTTGTGGGCCTCTGGAGCGTCGGCACGAGCAGCTGGAGCGATGTTACAGCAGCCTCGTCCGTGGCCTCGGAGGCTCCGTCCGTGGCGAGCCGGGCGCGCGGGCGTTGAGCTGTTTCCCGCCGCGCCGGGCGCCGAGCCGCTCCGCGCCCCGCGGGCCTTCTCGCTGCGGGGCGCCGTCCCGCGGCCCTTTCCCCGGAGCCCGGAGCCCGTGGCCTCGGGCTCCGTCCATGGCGAGCCGGGCGCGGGCGCGCGGCTCCCGCCGCGCCGCCGCCGAGCCGCTCCCCGCCCCGCGGGCCTTCCCTCGCGGCAGGGGCGCCGTGCCGCGGCCCTTTTCCCCGGAGCCCGGAGCCCTGCCCGCCCGCAGGTCCGCGGGCCAGGCCCAGGCGCAGGGGGCCGCCGGAGCGGTCTTGAATCATGTCGCGGATGCGAGGGGGCATTAAAGGAGGAGGAGAACAGGGGAGGAGGAGGAGCAGGAGGAGGAGGAGGAGGAGGAGGAGGAGGAGGAGGAGGAGGAGGAGGAGGAGGAGGAGGAGGAGGAGAAAAGGAGAGGGGCATGCATAGAGGAAAGGAAGGAGGGGAGGGGAGGAGAGCAGGGAGGAACCTCCCCCGACGGGCGGCTATCCTTGCCCACGGGGGTGCGATCCCCAGACCCCCGACGTCAGGATTTTTTCATGGCGCGACCCCCAGGGGTCTGGACCCGTGCATCCGGGACCGGTTTTTCATCCTGAGCTGTGTTTTGACGGTCCTGAGGTCCGGTGAAGGCCCCCAGAGGCCGAAAATAGCGAAACACTTCCCGCCGTGATTTTTTCATGACCCGAGGGGGTCTGGGGATCGAGCAGATGCCGAGAGGTCGCTCCTCTGGGCCACGCGCAGAGGGGGGGTATGGGGGAGGCGGGAGGTCTTCTTAGAAGCACCCCTGCTTCTTAGCAGGCGCGGGCCTTGTGTCTGTGGATGTAGAAGGCCCGCGCCTTCTGAGAGGCAGCCCCCTTCGAAGACGCCTTTCCCCCTCGACCCACCCTCCCCAGACCCTCGACGAATTGAGTTTTTCACAACGTCGACACCCCCAGGACCCGTTTCTCATCCTGAGTCGTTTTCTGACGGTCCCGAGGCCTGGCGAGGGTCCACTGAGGCCGAAAATAGCGAAAAACCTCCCGCCGTGTTTTTTTCGGAGCGCGACCCCTTCCCTAGGACCTCGGGACCGTTTTCTGACGGTCCCGAGGGCTGGTGATGGCCCCGAGAGTCCGAAAATAGTGAAAAACCTCATGTCGTTTTTTTTGTTATTTTTTTTCCGGACGCGAAGGGGGGTCTGGGCTCTGCGCGCCGCCAAGTTCTGGCCCCTCCCCTCCTCCTCCTCCTCCTCCTCCTCCTCCTCCTCCTCCTCCTCCTCCTTCCCCTCCTCCTCCTCCTCCTCCTCCTCCTCCTCCTCCTCCTCCTCCTCCTCCTCCTCGCACTCCTCCTCCAGGGCCTGGGGCCAGGGTTTTAGGCAGCCGACTCGCGGACGAGGTGGCAGCAACCAGGACCTGCGAGAAGGGGCAGGCGAAGCTAGAGCCCAATGTCGTCAGCTACAGCGCTGGGAGCAGCGCGTGCGAGAAGGAGTGCGGGAGAGGGATCAGCCAGGCGATGTGGGCAGCGCGGCGGGTCATCGCCATCAAGTTGCTGCCGTACCAGTCGAGGCCCACACGCGAGGCTGAGGCAGAGCAGCACAGGCCGTACATCACGGCCCGCGGAAAACAAAGGGCTCGTGAGGGAAGGGAGCGCCCAGCCAAGCGCTGAGGCGCGGAGCGCCAGGGAGCGGGTGCGGCAAGCGGCGGGGTTCTCTGCTACTAACCCTACGCACCCCGCCGCTGCCGTGGACCCCACCCTCGGCGAGGGCAGTGGCAGCCGTCTGCGGACGCTGCCAGCTTGTGCGAGAAGGGCGCTGCGAGGGCAGTGGCAGCCTCCGTGCGAGAAGGGACGCCCGAGAAGGCGCGGACGGGCAGTGGCTGCCCTGCGAGGGCATAGTGGCTGCTTGTGCCTGTGGGACAGGCCCGCGCGAGGCGCGGTGCCCGCCGGCGAAGGCGCGGCCGTGGGGCCGCGGCGTGCTCCCCCTCCCCCCCTCCTCCGCGCGACCCAGTCGCCTCGGGAAGTGTATTCAAAGTGCCTCCTCCTCCTCCTCCTCCTCCTCCTCCTCCTCCTCCTCCTCCTCCTCCTCCTCCTCCTCCCCCTTCTCCGCTTCCGAATCCCCTCCGAAAGCGAGGGGGTCTGGCCCCTGCGGCCAGGCGGAGGGCGACTGCCGGCGCTGGCGCCATGCGTGGCGCCACCACCGACGCCCGGCGCCTCGCCGCCGACCTCGCGGCGCAACTGCCGCCGGGGCTGCCTTTCGCCCTGGTCGGCCCAGCTTCTGGGTGGGAGTGCTCTCGGCCGCGTCCTCGCCGTCCTCCCCTGCTACCTCCCTCTTCTCTCCCTCCGACGACTCCCTCGGGTCATGAAAAAAGCACGACGCGAGGCTTTTTCTCGCTACTTTCGGCTTCATCTGGGGGCCCCATACCAGGCCTCGGGATTGTTAGAAAACGTTCCAGGATGAAACACCGGACCCGGGGAAGGGGTCTGGACCCTTGAGGGTCGCGCCACGGAAAGAAAACATTATCCCCGTGAAGGAACCAACCGTATGCAGTTGTGGGTACCGCAATTGTAAATATTTTCTTCGGTGAAGGTCCTTTTGGGGCCAAGATGCGCTGCACTGGGTGGGGGGGAACGCATGCGGGCGGTCCCGCGGGGGGCTTCGGTGGAGCTCTCGAAGCGCCGTATTGATTAGGTAAAAATGCCAAATTTGGTTTTCGGGACGCATGCAGGCGGTCCTACTGGGTGAGGGCTTCGGTGGAGCTCTCCATGGGGCCACGAAGCGTTGTACTGGGTGGGTGAAAATGCCAAATAGGGCGTGTGGAACACTTCGGTGGAGCTCCCTATGGGGCTACGAAACATTGTGCTGGGTGGGTGGAAATTGAAAAACTTGGTATGTGGGACGCACGCGGACGGTCCCACTGGGGGCTTCGGTGGAGCTCTCTATGGGGCAACGAAGCGCTGCACTGGGTGGGTGAAAATGCCAACTTGGGTTTTCGGGACGCATGCGGGCGGTCCTGTACTGGCTAGGTGGAAATGCCGAATTGAGTTGTGTGGGACGCATGCGGGCGGTCCCACTGGGGGCTTCGGTGGAGCCCCCTATGGGGCCACGAAGCGCTGTATTGGGTGGGTGAAAATGTTAAATTGGGTGTGTGGGACGCACGCGGGCGGTCCCACTGGGGGTTTCGGTGGAGCTCTCCATGGGGCCACGAAGCGCCGTACTGCTTAGGTGAAAATGCCAAGTTGGGTGTGTGGGACGCATGCGGGCGGTCCCCCGGGGGGTTTCGGTAGAGCTCCGCATGGGGCCACGAAGCGCTGTACTGGGTGGGTGACAATGCCAGATTGTGTGTGTGTGGGTGGGACGCATGCGGGCGGTCCGACTGGGGGAGGTCAAAGGAGACACTCGTGTTGGCTGATGGCGGGTGGCTTGGGGCGGGAGGGCTTCTTGCAGTACCCGCTGTGTATGTGTGTATGTGTGCGCGTGTAATGGGTTTACTCGGATCCCGGCTCTCTTCTCTCATCCTTCCTCCATCCGTTTCGTCCTTGTCCGTCCTCTATCTCCCTCCCTGCTTCCCTCCTCCCCGTTACCCTCTTCCCTCCTACCTCATGTATCCTGTCCCCTGCATCCTTCCCCTCCCACCTCTCGTCGCTGCCTCCTGCCTCCCTCCTACCTCATGCCCCGAGGTTGCTTCCTCTTCCCTCCTCCCTCAGGCCCTCTGCTTCTCGTTCCTCCCTCCTCCATCCCAGCTCCCATCATCCTGTCATCTGCTTACCTCCCTTCCTCCCTCCGCCACCTTCACTAAGCTCTTATCCCCTCTCCCTTCTGCATCTTTTCTCCTCCCTCCTCCGTTTCCCTTCTTCTCTTCTTCCCCTTCCACCTTCGCCTTCACTTTTTCTCCCCCCTTCCTTCTGCAAGCCAGGTGAACCTGTGCATTCCGTTCACCCTGGTGTGCGCCTTGTCCTCTTTCTATATGGGCCCCGTGGCGCTGACCCTGGTGGTGCCCGCTCCCAGGTAGAGGGTGGAGGTGGACAAGGAGAGAAAGGGGAAGGGACAGGGGGGCGGCAGGGGGGAAAGGGGACTAGGCGGGATTGGGGAGGATGTCAACATGGGGGTGGATGGGGGGAAGCGGAATGGGAGAGGGGAGGGTGATGCATGATGAGACGCGTGCAGCATTGAACGCGGAGGGGGGAGGGATACAATGGGGGAGGGTTGATGGGGGAATGAGAGATGGTGGGGTGGGTGACGTTTTTTCGTTGTAAAAAAATTTGTTTTGGGGGGAGAGGAGAGGCACCGCCACCCACGACGGGAGCGTCAAGGACTTGCTCCGCCGCAGCTCTCGTTGGGTGGAGGCTTTCGTGGCCCTCCCTGCGCGTGACCTGGTTCATACCACTCCTCCTCCCCATAACACTCTGCTGCGCCGCCAGACGGCGCGCCTTCCTGGCCTGGCGGGTGCCGAGGTGGACTGCGAGGATCCACTCGGCAACGCTGGGTTGCTGTTGCGCGCGCGAGGCAGGGCCCACTGGCGATGCTCCGAAGAAGCTTTCGCAGAGGCGGCAGTGCTGTTGTCTCCCGTTCTCCTCTGCTGCGCTCCTGCCTGTCGCTGGCTCCGTCCGTCGCCTGTCTTGGCCTTGCTGCCGACTCGCTCGCTGACTCTCCTGACTCCTCCTTCGCTGCTCTGTAGCTTGGTCTGCCGTCTGCCCTGCTGGTCGTTTTTCGCGTCCCCGTTCCTATCCCTGCCCGCTTGCTGCTTTCTCTCTTGCCGCTGCCGCTGCTGCCCACGCATTACACTGAACATCTGATGACGGTTCTCGAGCTGTGTACCGTTGAGGGAAAACTTTGCATCAAGAGTTGGGGGACCACTTCGAATACACCCCCCCGCACCCCCCCAGCCTTACTGTTGAGCAGGCGGTCCTGGAGATGAGCGGCCGGAAAAAATCTGAACCCAAGATCTCGATCGCAATGCGTTCCAATGTGAAGGCCGGCGGGTTGGAGGGGCGGGGGGAATTCGGTTCTTTGTCGTCGGAGCGTTGTTGATGCACTGTTTTTTCCTTCAACCGTAGCTCCGTGGTCATGGCCAGCGGTGATCTCCTCGGTCTTCTCCCTCGCCGGGGCAGAGCAGAACAGTTC